AAAAAGGAAACCTAGACAAAAGTTAAGACAAAACACAACATCCTAGATTGAAAACCCAAAGGGCGGTCTAGGGAAGTCAATCAATCGTAATAAGCGCCACGAAACAATTAGTTAAAGACACAGCTTCGCAAACAAAATGTTTGTTTAAACTAGCCTAAACACTTCAAATAACCCTGGCTAGCCATTCTTACAAAAACCGTTTTTACAAAAATAAAATCCTTCCAAAACACAAGTCATTGAATCAAACAAAGATTCCTTCTTTTCTCTTGACCCTTTATACATAATTCTAGTAATTAATAGGGAAATATGGAGATACAGTAATCAATAAAAGATTGGAATTTCTAAGGAAAAGTAGGAGTATATCAACATAACAAGCGCTCCACAATCAAAATAATCATTCTTCGGTCATGGCAAATCCGAAAACGGCAAGAACAGTCAGCTAAACATGACCTCATAAGAGCACCATCAACAAAAAGGAGGAACAGTTAATCCTTCTGAAAAATTAACTGAAATAGCATTATAGGATGCATATCATGAGCATTACATGCATAGATGTTGATGAATAAAGTCCTATTATTCTCTAAAAAAAGAAAAGAAAAAGGGAGCTGACGACTGTCCATATGTTACCGTTGGGCATGGATGGCCGTCCATGAAGGCCAAAAGGTCGTCCATAGTCAAACGTTGGGCATGGATGACCGTCCATAGAGCACAGACGGTCGTCCATCATAGAGCCATTGGGACCAGATGGCCGTCCACACAAGCCAGACGATCGTCTGGCCCTGGCGAGTTTGCCTATAAATAAAGGTGCCCAAATTGACTCGTGGCATCCCATTTTCGCATTCCCTCTTCCTCCTTCATTTTTCCTTGCATACTTGAGTGTGTTTGGTTGAAAAATGGACTGCGAAGCATCTTCATCACGCCAAAAGCGCCCTTGAGGGCCCATCGGGCCAATTCCTACTCAACTGACGGAACAACACCAAGCTAGATTCGCCAACATCAGTCAGTTTGTTTGGAACCCTATGTTGTGGCTAGACTTTGAGATCCTAACCATGTTTGGTTGGGATCAAGATGTAAGAAGGTGCATCCAAGGCATAGGCTGGGATTCCCTGCTCAAAGAGTCGCCTTCCCGTGTCCACCGCACTGCCACGCTGGAGTTTCAGAAGGGTCAATCTCTGCATCAAGGAAGCATCCTGAAGACAGCATCAGACTGCATTCATAGTCCCGAGGGTCAGCTACCACGTTAAGAGGAGCATCCGGAGGACAATCGGGCAAGAGGGTTAACTCCTTCACCTGCCAATTGACCTTATGGTACATTAGCCCATAGTCAATTGGTCAGGTGAAGGGGGGGCAGCTATAGACCCCAAATCTTTCCCTGCTCTACAAAAAGGCCAGAAATCCTTTGTTCTGAAGAAGAATAAAGCTTCATAGGGTCTCTAGTAGTGTTTACTAGGTCTCAATTAGAATAAGGAGAGATTTCTGGGGAAATAAAAATTTATTTTTGTCAGAGAAGTAGTGGATGGCCGTCAAGCATAGCCAAAACGGTCGTCCACTCTGATTTTTCAACTATGGATGGTCGTCCATCTTAACCAGACGACCATCCATCCTAAAAATGTGGCATGGACGACCGTCCATGCTAGACAGACGGTCATCCACCCTTACTTTTGGCCATGGACGGTCGTCCATGATGGTCATACGGTCGTCCATGTTTTCCTGGCTCGCTTCCCTATAAATAGGAGCCTCATTTCTCGTTTTTCACACATATTTCACTCCTACCACTCTCTAGGAATCCTTTTGGCACTTTAGAGTGACTTTGAGCATTTTTTCAAAGTTCGAGTGAGCTTTTCGATTTCTGTTTAAGGTAGAAATCGGTTAAGGAGGTCTCTCTTTGAGACATCTGGCGCTCGGTAGAGTGAAAATTTCTTTTTCGCGGGTGAGGAGTGTGTTTGCAGAGCGAGGGGACAACCAAAAAGTGTCCTCAATTCTTGAAGTATTAATAAGAAGCTCATTTCAGAGGTTCCTTCTCTATTCTCTCTCTTTTACTGCTTTCTTTAACTGCTTTCCTGGTATGCATTAGATACTAGGACCATGTAGATATTTAAATCTGCCAGTAGATAAATAAATAGGGTAAAAACATAGTTTTTTTAGTCTTTATTTAAGAATTAGTCCATCATAGGGAACCCGAAAGGGATGTTGTGGGGTGTCTAACACCTTCCCCACACGTAACCAACTCTCTTACTCAACTCTGATTGTAGTGGCCAAAGTTGGTTTTTTTAAACCAATACCTTCTTTCTTTACTTTTTCAATGTTTATGGTAAAAATATCGGCGGTGACTCTATAGAACCCTTTACGAAAACCTCACCTTTAGGTTCAGCCCGGTTATCGGACAACCTAAAAACGTTGACCACATCTTTAGAAAACGCAAGTCATTCAAAATCATCGCATCGCTCCGACCACCTTTTTTTACGGCAGCGACAATTCTTTCTTTGCGATCTTTCAGCTTTGGATCATTTTTCGACAAATATCTTAGGTTCATTTTCCTGTGCTCAAGCTTGTGTTACAAGTCTCTCTATCTCTTTATGCTTTCTCTTTTGTTGTGAATGATTATGTATGGGTGTACCCTCACTTTTTTGTTTCTAATTGTTAGGGGTTTTGTCTATTACAAGTCTTTCCCCAGCATGATTTTTTGTTCCTATGAATGATATGGTGGAATAACCAGATGATACTGAAAAGAATGTTGAGACTTACACTAATAATTTAATTCCTAGAGTACTCAATGTTTGAGGACCCTAATAAGCCAAAGATAGCCATTAATACCTAACAATATGAGATATTTAATGAGAACAAGATGAAAGGGTCTAGAAAATAATTGGGGTGTTTTTTATGCTGTTGGAAGTAATGTTTATCCCTTGAGTTTTAGTGCTTCCAATCTGAGTAAAGAAAATTCTCTAGGATCATTTTGTGTGTCTACAGATGATGCAGACACTGACAAATTACAAGTTGGCTTGAGCTGAGCTTGTGGACAAGGCCAAGCTAACTGTGTAGTTGTTCAATCAGGGAGACCATGCTATTCCCCCAATAATGTCAAACGCCATGTCTTATATGGCTATAATGATTATTACCAAATAATGCATAATGCTAGTGGAACATGTGACCTTGATGGTACAACTACAACAACTACCGAGGATCCTAGCAAGTCCATGATCCTTCTTATTTTAAATTTTCAATATTCTTGTGTCTTACTTACACTTCCAAGTTATATCTTTATAGTGTCAATAAATAAATAAATAAATATATATATATATATATATATATATATATATATATATATATATATATATATATATATATATATAAAACCAAGGTTTTAAATTATTGCAGATAAATGCAGCTACAAACGGGTATGCAATGCAGTTTTGAATCATAATTTGCAGTTTCGGACTATGATTTTAAAACCTTGCACACAAGTTCAGTACAAGAATTATTTTCTTATTGCAACCTGATATTGATAAGCCTGGATCCTATTATCTTCCACCCATGGTTTTAAATTGCTTTCATGATTGTGATTGTATAATGTTTCTTGATGTTGCATTTCATCTGATTTTTCGTAATACAGGAAATTGTAGATGTGAATGATGGCCATAATTGGAGTTGCATTGTAGTCATAACTATAAAAAACAACATTAATGTTGCGGCTAAAATCACAGTTGCAGATAATGTTTTAATGTTATCCTATGTGGTATCAGTGACTTCTCATGAAAAATATTACAAACGAAGTTATAACCAATCAACTGAGCAACAAGTATAAGATTATAGAGGGAGGAAAGTGGTTTGAGATATAGAAATTGCTTAAGATTAATAAATCTCACTTTTCACGTATTTGACAGACCGGTAGAAAATAGTGATCACTCTTTCAAAAGTTTATCTAGCAAGAACAAAAGGTGTAATGATTTGCAAGAATATTGTTTTAAGTTTATCCCTTATATTTACTTAAACATTTCATTTGTCATGCCCTCTGTTGTATAGCAATTAATTATGGATATTGTTGTTGCATTGCAGATTATGGGTCTTGTGTACATGCGGGAAGGTGAAAATAACTCAGTTTATGTGCACATCAGTTATGAATTAACCTTACAAGTATTTGTCATGTTTTGCAAATCTGATCTTGCATTGAATTGAATATTTTAACGGCAGTGCAAGTTTAAACCTGCATGTGTCCACCTTTCATAGTTTCACATTGTCTACTAGTGTACTTTTTGCTTTAATGATGTCATGACCAAAAGATAACAATTTCAGATTGTAATTTCATTAATTGTCTTTTTTGGGTCCTTTATATGGTGTATTTAGGATCATTCTTGGTAGGTAGTTGCAAAAATTTATAGCTTGTTGGGCTAGAGAATACAAATGATACATCTAACCTTCGAGAAACTATTGCCAATGTTGTTTACACAAAAATGTAATCAATTCATGAGTAATGAATAATGTCATTTCTAATTGACGTTCTCTCACACCATCTTCTACAACTACACTTGAACCCATTCTTAAAGCTAAGCCTGTGAGTGATACTCTCTAAATATAATTTTGGTTAAATGAAAAATGTTATTATAATATAATCATAAATTCATTGGATATAGCAAAAAATAGTTAAAGTTCACTTATATTTAGACTACCTTAAATGACTTTTTTCCTTTTTTACAGAGGATCTATAACCAAATGGCCTACCGTAGTCTTGAGATTAGGCAAACCTAATAAAGCATCCAATTTCAACAAATAAACACATTCTTATCTTAGTCATATATGCAGGGGGGGAATAAATACCTCAAAGGTTAACAATCAAACACGTATAGCACAAAACAGTTAGCAAGAAAATGAACCATTTCTCAAATATACAAAAGTGTATGCAAATCACCTACAATAGAAAATAAAGTATATGTGATTTCCCAAAAGTTCTATGCAGGCTTTCATTTCATACTTGTGATATAAATATTATTTGGTAGTTGATTTCAGTCAGACTGAGTCATCAGATTCCTCAGAATCACTCCTGTCTGGCTCCCCTGCATTGGTAAGATTCTCCGGAACATCATGTTTTGGAGCAGGTTTGGGTGCAGGTTTTTTATTAGCAACTCGGGCATTCTCCTCCCCTTCTTGCTCAGCTGCTTCTACATGTGAATTTCGGTCAAGGAAATGACCAAAGTAAAGATTGTTTCCACAATCAAAAAGGAAACAAACTAGTAGTTGTCATTGATGCAAGTAGAGATTCTAGTAATCCCATGAATCCCAAAAATAAGTAAAAGGGTAGTAAGAAAAATTAGCAATAATGATCTCAATAACTATGCAGCATTTTTGAAGAAAAAAAAATTCAAAGTGAATCATAGATTGTATTTAAGAATTAAAAAAATGAAAAAAATCTCTATATTGCTGTTTGAGACAAAGGATGTAAGGATATCAAGATTTTCAGCAGTTCCTCCAGCCATGATTTTGAGGAGATCTTTCTCAACACGAGATACAAGCTCAGGCTGGAAAATGAAACATTAAAAAAATGTTATTATGAAATCATATATGCTATGTATCATATCAATATATATATATATATATATATATATATATATATATATGTGTGTGTGTGTGTGTGTGTGTGTGTTTATGTAGGCAGAAAGGCATGTTAATGTCTATTTTGTGAATGAATAAAATACATTAAGATCAGGCTCCCTGCGAAATCTACGCTTCCGAGCATCTCTCATGGGCGGGGTGAGGCCATGCCTGTACTCAATTACATCTGGAGCAGCATCACCAGAGTCTCGAACCATAATCATCTATTAATTGGATTCAGGAAGCAATCAGATACAGTGATTAAGCTATATGAATCATAGGTACGATTAGGATAATGTATAACTAACCTGACCAATATCGGCAGCCTTAATCAAAGAATTATCATCATAAGTCTTGTAAGATTCAACAACACAAGGAAGGTCCAATAGAGAAGCTGGGAAGTGCTCATTCCCAATCATAAATGTACCACTTCTTCCATCCTCACTAAATGACAGATCTAATGATTTCTCTTCAGATGAAGAAGCATCGGTTTCATTCAATAGGCGCTCTATCCGCTCTGCCACATTAGGTGGAACTCTAAGTATGAATTGCTCCTCCATAACTAATGACATGTTTGAAAACATTAAAATGTAAAATGACTAGAAAAACATCTAATGAATTGATTTAGAAATAAAATCCCATATTTTGAAATTAAAAAAAAAAAATGAGATTTGGAAACTAATTCTCATGTTGCCATTAATTAAAATAGACTTTATTTCATTTTATTATTTTTCATTTTCACCATTTTAATACAATGTCATTAACTCATTCCAGCATAAAAGTAAACAAGTAAATATAAGATCATAATTCAAGAAAATCGAAACTGTAAGACAAGCAACATAGAAATATTCCTGAACAGTTTGTTATTTCAGAGATCAATCAGGATATTGGTTCAAAAACTAAGAAATAAAAGAATGTACACACATTAATTTCGTTACTTCCTTGCAGAAGAAATGCATGAATTCATGTTTTAACAACGTATTGAGGATAATAGCTAAAATTATGATTGGACAATGAACAATAAAAGAGTCACAAAAGAGAAAACAAAAATTAACGTAAGAATGAAAACAAAAACAGTCGAAGACAAACCTGCAACAAATAGCATTTGCTACAAAGAATTAACAGTGTTACATTCATATGAATTACAGAAAGAATTTATTTAGAACTATCTTTCCCAATGATAACCATTCCGTGGGCAAAGATAACATGGAAAAGAATTCAGCATCACTATCTGACAAACAAAAGACAGCATTGAACTTAAATAAAAACAATGTAGAAATGTTTTCATAAAAATCATTAGCACTTTGATTTGCATCAACTATAAGCATTAATCAAATTATCTAGCAACAAGCCAGTCTACATAATTGAAAAGAATCACCAAAATGGAGAAAAAATGGGTTTTAAACATGGTTGTTAACCCCACAAGTAAACTCATACAATCAAATGTGTACATGGGTTTGAAGCCCTCAATCTGTTCAACTTGCAACCTAACTACTGGTTTTGGGTGGGCTTGAGTAAACTTAAGGGAGCTTGTGTGAAATTGCTCACAATTTCAAGGGTGAATTCACTAGGGGCAAAAAAATTCACCTAGAAATAACACTCATTTGGGGCCATCCTGAGGCATATTTAGATAGAAAATGTTAAGGAACCTTAGTTTTCTTCTCTCTTGCGACCAAGGTAGTCAAAACTTGAGATTTTATTCTGATCGTGGAAGTGATCACTACAAGATTTACAAAATATATATATATATATATATATATGTGTGTGTGTGTGTGTGTGTGTGTGTATGAATTCTTATATATGCATCCAACATGAGTATAAAAAAGGGAAAAGAAAATCATTATAATGATACCTCATTTCCTATTTTGTTTTCATTTAGTAGTTGTTATTGCTTAGTAAGTTCCCCTGATGTTTTTGGGTTTTGGTTGTAATCTGTTTTTGAATTTTATTAGAATATGAGGTTCATATTCACATCAGAAACTACATTCTTGCATCTTCAGCCTTTTGTTTTCATTCAAATTTTTTCTTCATTATTATTATAATTGTAAATGCAGCCATATACTATACATTACGCTTCAAAATAATACATAAAAAAAAAAAACTTGAGAAACATATTAGTAGTTTGTCAAATAACCAAAATTGACAGAAAAATCCTGGATACTCATAAGATAGGTAACTTCAAGTCACTAAGCAATGCAGTTTTCTAATTCTAGGGAATTTTTTGAAAGAGTTAATTATATGGTCTACGGTGAACTAGTGAATCAACGCCAAAGGTTAGGTCCTAATTGACTAAAAGTTGAATAACCGCTAAAATTTAGTGAAACCACATGATGACCTTGATCACAATGCACTCCTGGACATAACAGAAGCATGAAGTGCAATTATAGCTCTTCAGTGTGGAAGTTATGTGATCAAGCATAATGATCCAGTCCTCAAGACGGACACCAAAGCCAACCATTAAAGTTCAGCAAAACCAACATATAAGCTAGAAAATCATAGAATTATAAAATATCAAGGATAAAAGGTGCCACAACAAGGTATCATGAAAATAAATATGCTGCTAAGATAGCAAAGCTTTATAGGGTCAAAAACACTTACCGTCTTGCAGTTTGCAAGAAGACTAAAGGATGGCGTCGTTTTGGGCCTTAGGTTTGTTACGGAGGAATTAAAACTGCTTTGATCAGTCAACTATACACAGAAAGAAGAATGATGAGGATAGTGGGTGCAGATGTGTAAGACAAAAACAAGTAAAAGTTGAAATTGAGTGGGGTTACTGATTCACATAACTCTCATCTTAGTGCTAACATGTTGCTCAATTTTGAAATATTTACCTTGTCACTTTATGGGAGAATTAAGGCATAATTTAGACCGTTCTTTGGTTTCGGCTAATATGCTTATTTATGAAATTGATCAAAAGCACAAGGACAATATTACATAGTCAAGGATTCTGGTCTGATGAAGTTAGTTCTATATTTAATGCACATATTCCTCGTATTTCAGTCAACAACAAAAAATAACATCCATTTCAATTTTGATAACCAAGCTGATTTAGCTTCTGTTAAGCAGATTCTCTTTGAAAGTACAGAAAAGAGATGGAGTTTTCGCTGGAAGTTGCCCTAATTGCTAGCATAAAAGAACTTTTCCAACCAAAACCGAATCTTTTTGCAGGTGAAACATTAATTCGACATTCATGTATATCTCTAGGCTCATACATATAACATTATATTCATGAAGATATATATACACAATACCATTCTAGATTCGGAGGAGTTTATCGTTCCCACACCCTCGAACCTAGTTAACCCCGCAGGGGAATAATTTTTTAGTAGGCTCGTGAACTCGAGCAAACTCGTGTAAATTCGCAAGTTGAGAGTCAAATCAGCGAGCTCGATCGGACATTAGAGAAAAAAAGAAAGGCAAAAGCAACACTGGATTTGTGTGATTCTAGGTGAAGATTATGCAGAACGCACCTAGGTAACAATTTTGTAGGTCATTGGTTCTTCCTTGCAAGTTTCTGTCAGGTTTATGGGGGTGTTGAAGGTGGGTTCTCCAATGGCACTAACAGATCTGTGTTAAATGTCTTCCTTGGCTCCGTTTGCGTTTCAACTGCCTCCTTCGAGTTACCACCTTCCTTTTTCTTCTCCCGTTTCATACATACAAATTAGTGGGTTGAGTCATAATAAGTTTTTTTTTAACAACTCTTCCTTGTGTTTTTGAATAGTTGGGTCTTGATTTAAGTCCAACTAACATTTTTTTTTTAATACAAAACATAATATATGATATATATACATATGAGCTATTTTTGGAGTTAATTATACAATGGAATAAGGAAACTATGAAACCATTTGAGCCTTCAAAAACAGCTCATATGTATATATATCATATATTATGTTTTGTATTAAAAAAAAAAATATTGTTGAACTTAAACCAAGACCCAACTATCCAAAAACGTAAGGAAGAGTTGTAAAAAAAAAAAAAAAACTTACTATAACCCAACCCACTAATTTGTATGAATGAAATTAATTTGTATATATGAAACGGGAGAAGAAAAAGGAGGGTGACACCTCGAAAGAGGAAGTTGAAAGGCAAAAGACATTTAACATACTAAAAAATTATTCCCCTGCAGGATAACTAGGTTCTAGGTTCGAGGATGTGGGAATGATAAACTCCTCTTAGTCTACAATGATATTGTGTATATATACGTCCATGAATATAATGTTATATGTATAAGCCTAGTGATACAATGAATGTCGAATTAGAACCTAACCAGGAGTGCATTGTGATCAAGGTCATCATGTGGTTTCACTAAATCTTAGCGGTTATTCAATTTTTGGTCAATTAGAACCTAACCTTTAGCGTTGATTCACTGGTTAACCAATTTTTGGTCAATTAGAACCTAACCTTTAGGGTTGATTCACTGGTTAACCGTAGACTTGTCATATAAAAATTCTCTAGAATTAGAAAACTGCATTGCTTAGTGTCTTGAAGTTACCTATCTTATTAGTATCCTGGATTGTTCTGTCAATTTTGGCTGAAGATGCAATAATTTAGTTTTTGGATGTGAATATGAACCTCATATTCTAATAAAATTCAAAAACAGATTACAACCCAAAACCCAAATTTAGTTTCTGGATGTTAGAGTCTTACCAGTAAAATCATCCTCCTCGCTAGTGTCAGCAGAAACGCAACAGAAGTTAAGGAAAAAATGAAAAAGGCAATGACAAATATGAAGTTAACAGGATTCGAAAATGATAGCTTAACAAATATCTGTTCTCAGTCATTCGTTTGGATAAAACAGCTCCTCCACATAAACTACAAACATTAATATATTAATTTTAAAACAGCAAATTAAAAAGTTCAAAACAGATTAGTAGTGCCAAGGATATTCATCACCAGAGTAATATGCCTTGTATCCACAGAAATGAACGCTGGCATTTTTTGAACTGTGGGAAAGCTCGCTCATAAAGCCCTAATACATACACTAATGCATCCGTATACTTCTTCTAATAGCATTATTAGACATAACTGGTGATAAAAGTCAAAAAAGAAAAATGAAACAGAGATTGATTGCAATTTGAACATACATATCAGAGTTGTTCCTTGCAACGTCAAGCATGAAATTTGGATTCCCGGTGGCCGCTAAGGGCGTCGCGGTGGCTGCTGGCGGCGCTGGTTAGGGTTGGTGCGGTGGCTGGCGAGAATGACACGCGGTGGCGATTTGGGCGCAGCGAGCGAAGGCGAATCCACTGGAGGCACGAGCTGGGAGGCTTGGGCTGTTGAATCGGAGGAAAATGGGGAAAACTGGATGAGGTGAGACGGTGGTTTGCGACTGCAGAGGCGGTGCAATTGGAGTCTCTGCGGTGGCTAGGGATTAGAGTGTGAGAAGGAGAGGGGGTGAGGCTAGAAATAGTGAGCCGTGATGGGAGAGAGAGCAGAGGTTCACTGCGGTAGTGCTTATGGGTGTGGTGGTCACCGGAGCTGAGGGGAGAATGGGTTAATTGGAAATGGGGTGGGTGTTGGCTGTTTAGGGCGCGGAGGAACAAGTACAGGGGAAAGAGAAATGGTGGATGGTGCGGTGGTGAGCTAGGGTGAGATGGATGGTTGCGAACATGACAAGGTGGTCCGGTGGGTGTAGTTGGGTGGTTGGTTGGTGAGAGTTGCTGGGCAATGGGGAATGGAGGCCGGCGGAGATTGGGAATGAGGGAGAAGGAAAGCGGTGGGGAGAAGGGAAAGTAGTGATTGGGAACTAGGACAACCACTGGGCTGGGCCGAAAAACAATCTCCTCTCTTTTTATTTATTTATTTATGTTAAAAAGATAAATACTAATAAAAGTAATTATTATATATTTTTTATTTTATTTGAGAAATAGAAACAGTTAATAAAAGAAAATTTTATTATTTTTCTCTTTTTTTCTTAAAAGTATAAAATATTAGTAGTTGAAATTATAATTTTTATATATTTTTTTGAATTTTAAGAGTAAAATATTGAGAAAAATAAAACTACTTTTTTTTATTATTTATCCTTTTTTATATTTTTAAAACAAATGCTACTATTTATTATTATTTTATTTTTATTTATCTGACGAAATTGGGTGTTAACAACAACTATGGGTAGAGGTTACGGATTTTAATGGTGTGGTTTGGTGGTGATTAGACTCAGTTGAGGGGGAGAACAGAGTGAGTAAGGACCATGAAAAAAGAGAGTTGCCTGGCTGAGTAGGAGATGAGATTGAGAGGGGAAAGAGTCATGGTTGATAAAAAGTTGGATAAAAGATTATATTAGGGTAGAATGTAATGGGTTGAGTTTTTTTATTTTTAATTATATTATTTTTTTATTTATTATTTTAAAAAGTAAACGAGATTATCTTTATATTTTTTTTTCATTTTCATTTTTTAAAAAAAGGTTAAATATTAAGAAAGAAAATGAAAATTTTTGTTTTATCTTTTAAATCTTTTTTTATTACTTTTTCATATTTTCAAATATTAATTTTTTCATGAAATTAATTTTAATTAAAATAATTAAGTGATATATATATATATATATACATTTATTTATTTTTTATTTTTTAATTTATTAATATTATCAAATTTTAGCTTAATAATTAAATCTTATGTTTTTATTTAAACTTATTTATGTTTAATTAAAAAATTACCAATAATTTAAATTTTATTAATTCTATAATTTTATATAATTATTATTATAAATTTAATTCTCCAATAACTAATAATATTAACACATTTATTAAATTGAATTTCTTTACTTTAATTCATTATTTTGAATTTTTTAATGATTTTTTTTCAAATAAATATGATAAAACTTAAAATTAATTTCTAACTAAAAATATGGTTAATAGTATATTATATTATTATGTTTAATTAAATTTTAAAATTTTAAAATAAATTTACTTAATCTTTACACTTTTATAGAAAAATGACTAATATAAATTTAAAATATTTATCTAACTATTTTTAATATATTAATATAAATTTTAAATATTAATTCAATAATTAAAATAATTTTAATCTTTTATAAATACATGAAATACATTTTTATTAATATATATATATATATATATAAAAGAGACACTAAATTAATAATTAATTTAATTATTAATTCAATTGATTTGGTGACTAATTTAATAATTAATTTTAATTTTTTTTATTCACGTACTAAATTAAAAAATAAAATTAAATAATTATACTATTAAATTATTTAATAAGTTAATAAACTGTTTTTTAAAATTTTTATAATGTTTATTAAAAATGTTATCAATTATATTTTAAGTTATTAAATAAATTTATATTTAATATATTATTAAAATATTTTTAAGAAATATTTATATAAATGGAAAATAATCATTAATTTATAGATTATTTATTTTGTAACTGAAATTTTAGTTTTAAAAAAGAAATGAGTCACTAATTTAATTTTTAATAACTAAATTTTTCGATCACTATTAATCATTTTTATAATAGTGTCTCGTAGGTGTGATAAAGTAATTTAGTTAATACAATCAAATTAACATTTTATGTTAATCAAATAAACACTACCATAATTAATTTAACTAATAATGTTAAAACTTAGTCTTCTTATTTATTTCTAAGTATTAAATAAATATTTATTAATTTGGATATTGACAAAAGTTACATTTACCTTACAAATATTTTATTTAGGATAACGATGAAAAATACCACCAAATCTGTGAATCAACTTATTTGAGATTATTTCAACATACCTAATAGAAATCTTAATATTAAACACTTTCCATTTTTATAAAACACCTAACAGAAATTGTCTATCTATCTTTATTTAAGTCAAAAATAATTATTTAAAATTTTAAACCAATGAATATAAAAAAATAAAATAAAAATTTACTGTGACTAACACAGAAATTCACTAGAAACTGAAAGTAAAGACTTCAAATTTAGAATGATAAAAACAAAGAAAAAAAATCAGAATCGAAATTCCTTTCATTTTACAACAATTAGAGACATATTTGAGTATGATAGAAGTTAAATTCTTTATTATAAGTTTAATATATAATTTGTATGTATTGAAATATATTTATTTATTTACTATAAATGAGTCTTTAGACTATTAAAAAAACAAGATAAATAGTCGTTTTATGTAACTAAATATTATAAAAACAAATATTTTTTAATATTTAAATTATTATTATTATTATATATATATATATATATATATATATATATATATAATAACTAACATGCATATAATATTTTATATTTTGGATGATTTTGATACAGAATTATTTTTTAACTATTTGATGATATCTTTTAGAAAATGAAATTGGAGAAGCAAAAGAAAATATATGGTTGACTATGAAAACAATAAATATATAGATAGAGATAAAAATGATATAGTCGTGAAACAAAAAATTTTAAGCTGATGTTAAATCATTCTAAATATAAAATTTTAATTAAAAAATATAATTGAAAAAAAAAAACAAATATATGTATATGGCAATTTTTATTAGATTATTTTAATCATATATTACCTCATGTAATTATAAAACGACTCTAATGAAAGATTGCTAGTGTGGTACCGCTAGTCATTGGAGTTTTTTTAAGTTATTGCAGTAAATCCCTCTTTTCTTACTTCATTAAAGAAGATAAAATTAAATGAAATATTTTCTACACACCATCAGACTAAGAAAAGAAAATGGAGTAAAAGAAGGAAAAAAATTCGAGAAACTTTTCTGAAGTGTCTTATGAATTCAAATATGTCCTTAATTACAATAGCTGTGAAAGATATGTCTAACATCTTCAATACAATTTTAAGCACCACCTTTCTCCAATCTGAAGTAGAAATTCTCAAATTATGCGACAATGTAAATCCAGCAAAAGAAAATGGAAAGAACGGGACGACGAACATAGAAACTTAGATATTACTGAAGAAGTAGAAAGCAAGTAATTGATTTATGAAAGATACGTAACCGAGCTACGCATTTTTTGATAGCTAAGAAAAAGCCCCTCCATTGCTATACATATGTTCTTCATTTCTCAACGTGGCGTGGGAGGTTCTACACATATAATAATAATGATGATGATGATAACTAAATACATCTATTACCAACTATATCGCAGTTACTAAGCCAGTAATACATGAAGACTCCATGCATGCATTTAGAAGGGAAGGAGGGCGCTGCCGGCGGACACGGAGCTCGAAGCGGCGGCGCTGTTCCTCTCGGCGTGACAAAGCTGACGGAGCTTCGTCGGAACGTACCAAATGGAAAGACGAGGGTGTGCGTTGAATATGGCATCAATGTCCCAACCTTGACGCGCTGCGATGGCCACAAGGGGCTTGTAACATGCTTGTCTCCACGCTCCAACGTTCTCTCCTCTCTCCTTGAACGCCCTACGAAGCTCGTTCGACACCTCCTCGTCGAGACAATGCAAAGCGTAGCAGTGCACGTAGTGTCGCATCTTTGGCTTGTTGATGTAGCTTGCTCCAGCTTTCTTCGCATACCTAAATACCTGATTCGTCACCTGCACTCCCACATTCTGGTTAGTATATCTATATATAATATACATATAAACAAATATATCAATAACGACAAAAACTAAATTTTGTTGTCTAATCAAAATTAGTTGAAGTGTTAATTGTGAGTTGAAAAATAGGGATGACACGTATATATGTAAGACATGTGACAGCAATGGTAATAATATAATAATAATAATAACAAGGGAGATGAAATTAACAGAATGAGAGTTGATAGATACGGGTGGACGGGGATGGTTATGAGGGCATGCGAGGATCCAGTGGGTGTAAGGGGAAATGGGGCACATGCAAGACTTTGACTTGTGGGTGGTTGTGTTGTGTAGTGTTGTGCAGTGATGTGGTGTGGTGGGGGAAGAAGGTAGGAGTTGTAACTGGATAATTCATTTGGCTTGTACGGAGGGAAAATTCCAGTTTTAAAGGCAGATGGACCCCTCACGAGAGTCCCTGACTTGTCACGTGTTCCGCGGCAATGTCACGGCAACCCAACATTATTCAAACGGAACTACACAACAACACAAGTAAGTGGCAGAGTCAGAGTGATCAGAAGAAGAAAGGCACGACTGAGTGAGTGAGTGATGCAGGACTCATGAGGAGACAAACAAAAACTAACCCAAAACGAGAGAGAAGAAACCAACCTTGGTGGGGCATTTTTCACCACGGTCCTTCGCGATGGCCTGAACCTGCATCAAGAACTCACGGCACTGCTCGTAGAGATGAAACAGATAATCCAAACCGTTCTTCTTCCCACGTGCAACCTCCCCAGGCTCCGTCACGATGAACGGGTGCTCCCTCTGCCTCTCGCATCCTCCACCACTGTTGTTGTTCCCTTCCTCATTCTCTTCTCCCTCCTCATCCTCAAGCTCCTCGTTATCTTCCTGCTGAAGATTCGCCTTCATCCTCGTCCTCCGCCTTCTCTGCTGCTTTCTCCTCTCCTCCGCCGCAACCACCTCCCACGTGCTTCCTCCCCCGCTCCCCACCGCCTCCTTCTCTCGTTGCACCACCGGCTCCTCCGACAAACCTACAATAATACCAGTCTCAATATACCCCTCTTCATCATTCACTATATCATATATATACTCATATATTTCTTCTCCAGGAGATACATATAGATCCATTTAATGGACTATTTATTACATTCTTAACACATGTTCTTTCTAATCCACGATATACACTCATGGAATAACAAATCGTTCAGCCTATAAGCTATAGTACTGCTAGTACCTGCTGACTTTTATGTTGTAACATAGAACAGTAGTTTAATATAACAGTAGAATAAACTAGCTAGTGAAGCTTTTGTTCCAAATTTAATTAGCCAAGCGATTATAACGCTAGGTAACGCAGTACTATGCAATAAAAATCATTATCATGATGATAAAAACAACGACACAGTTGCTGTATACATACAACAAGAGCTGTGATATGTGTAGGTTAATTAGGTATAGAATGAGTATATGGTATGGTGTACCTTCTTGAGAGAGGGCATCGAGGGCGTTGGTGGTGGTGGTGTCGGTGGAAAGGAGGTTGGTATTACGGCGTTTGATGTCTTCGTCGTCGATGCGACGTCGTTCAGCTCTGACGGCTGCTTTGATGCCGTAGCGTTCGCCGACGAGGAGGTCCCAGCGGAAAATCTGGGAGAGGCTGTTCATCATGTCGTCGAGCTCCTCGTCCTTCATGTCCACCAGCGTGCTCACCGTGAAGCCGAGCTCGGCGATCTTCGCCGCCGTGTAGTAGCGGATGCCGTAGGCCTGGAAGAGCTCCTCGAGGCCGCCGAGCTCGCGCGGCGCCGCCCTGGGAGGATGGTAGACGGGGGCGACGGCGGGAGGAGCGACCGCGTAGTCGAGGAGTGGCGGCGGGGGACGCGGGGGCGGCGCGGCGGGGAGGACGGTTCGTGGGTCCCACTTGAATAGGCTGGCGGTGAATGCGTCCGGATCCATGGTTTGGAAAAAGTGATGAGTGGAAGGTGCGTGTGTGGTACTGTTTGGGTGGAGATAAAGGCGAAAGCATAAAGGTGGCGAAAGAGAGAGGGGTTAATTTCCTGTACAGAGAGAAAGAGAGGGGTTAATTCCCGAAACTACCCTTTTCCATGATTCTGATTTGATTCTGGGGTGTTTTTCCCGAGACTGGTTCGTGGTTGTGGTTCCTTACTCTCATTTCCTTTTGCGTCTCAGTGAGATCTTTCTTGAAACTCTTCAGGCTTGGTTCCCGTTTAGTTCCTCTCAAACCGAACTCCCCCAAAACAAACTAGCAAAGGTTCCTTCGACAACAAAATATATCACAATGTCTCATCCATTTTTACGTGATAAAATTAATCTCTTTTCACAGATTGGTTTGGAACTCTAATGGTCTTTCTATCAATTTCTCGTGCATTGAGGAGCTTTGACTTCTGATTTGACTGTTGTTTTTTGGGTTTGTCAATTTTGTTTGCTCATATATGTGCTGGTGTGTACTTAATTAGGGTGGTCCTCGCAGTGTTACAGTTTTGCTTAAACAACAGTGAGAGTGACCATTTTGGGTTAGCTGTGATTTGAACGTTTGGAAAGGCAAAGACATGCATGAAAATTGGGACAAGCAAAGCTAATTTCCTAGGTTAATGGTGGAAGTTTGTACCTAATTGTGGTTGTTTTTTGTGTTGGTGGGTGTTACGATTATGAAGTAATACGTGATACGTTTGTTTGTTTGTCTTGGGAAGGCGTTTACTTTGTCCATGTCCCAATCCCACAGTAATTTATTGATCCTAGCGATTCTTATTCTCTCGCGTTGTCTCGTCTGTAATCAAATTTATCTGCTATACATTCCCGTGAAATAGTTCTCAAACACTTTCCAACTCAACATATCTTCTTTTCATGTCACTTTCATCCCAACCACAACCAAAAGATAACTTTTAACTCATCTCCTTCTAACCCATCAAAATTAACTCTTTTCCTCGGAAATACCAGCAGTGATATAATCATTTTGTAAATATGATTTTATTTAATTATTTGATAAGTTTGAATTCCTGTATGTGTGGAAAGATAAAATGTAATTTATGAGGCATCATTTCCTTCCATTATTTTCAGAACAAACGATTCTTTTGTGATCTAGCAACACCTGCATAGAATTTTGTAGCTGAAAAATTATTCCATGAACGAGATAGCAAAACAATTTACCAATTTTCGTTTTATTGGATGCAGCAGCAGCAGCAGGAGCCCACAGTTCATTTTATCAACTGCATGTGATCTTTGTCCTTTTGGAGAAATTTTAATAGAAAATACTCCCATTTTAGCCATTTACAGTAACATTATTTCTTCATTATTATTATTCGTATATCATCATCAAAATTCAATTACTGAACATGTTAAACACATATAAAACACCAGAATTATGTATCCTTTGTGTTGTGAAACGTGAGTTTTCAAGTCTTTTGAGTGTGAAGCAAACACATAGTTAGGCGTAGCCTAGGGCGGCACCTTAAATATCGAAGTTCGTAAGGCCCAGTACGGCGAAGGCCTTGTGAGCAACCACTAACTTTCTGCCATGCCTTAACCCTACAGTGATGGTTTAATGCAAAAAGTTACTCAAACCCACTGTTAATTCTTCCCAGGAAACCCCATAAGTTTTGTAGAAATTTTCTTCTACACAATGTTGTCAATTTTGTAAATTTTCTGATAGGGTATTAATTCATACAATACATTCAAAAGATAATATATGTAAAGTGAAGCACAGTACAAGAAGTGTTGTTGTATGGTAACATAAAGAGTTACAAAAATTCAAAGCCAAGAGAAAAACAAAGACTATACAAATCTTATGCATCACATTGAAGTAAAATGATGATCCATATTGTGAGTATAATTATACAAAATATTTTGAAAACTAACATATATATATATATATATATATATATATAATACGAAAACTGCTTTAGTTAAATTATAGTTTTTATTATTTTGAATATTTAAATAACTATTTATTTTTTGTTTTATTTAACTTGTTATGAAATGAATAAAAATACATATATGCATTGAGATGCAAAAGTTTGCTATAGTGTTATTTTATTATTAATTACTTATACAATTAATTTATTGATTTTAATAATAATTTTTGGAATTTGTAATCATGATTTTTTAATTGATTGGTAATATAAAAATATTTTGTTATAATAAAATATTATTAAACCGCAAATAACACGCACAACTATTTGGTATTATTAACGTTCAAAGAATTTTGAGAGAAAAAGGATGTATCTTTGTTGAAATAAAACAGTATTGAATTCGTTTCAGCTAATTTTTTATTAAAAACATAAGACTTTTTATTGTTTGTTTATTCAGTGAAATGTAAATAGATAATGAAGGGTAAAGCATGTAAAAAAAAATGTACCATTGATAACATTGATGCCACCAAGAAATGTACCATTGAGTCAACGAAGGAGACTTGGATGCGTACAAAGGTTTTTTTTTACCCTTGTCCATGTAATCAGAAGTGAACACTGTGCTTGCATGCAACTTTTTTGGAAACGTATGATTTTGATACTTATATATTTTTAATTTAATTTCGATTTTTATACTTTTAAATGGACAAATTCATTTTTAAAATATATAATTCTAGTATTTTGTATACTTAAAATTAACATTTAAAAATAAATTGTTACCATCCTAAAATTTATAAAAAGACTAAATTAATATATATAATTTCAATATTGTTTATAGTTAGATTTAAATTTTAGTAATAGTTTTTTCTCTTTATAAATTTGACAAAAAGACAAACTTATATAATGTTCAAGTTTGAGAATTAATTATTAACGATCAAAACCAAAAATATACAACTCTTATTTTCGCTATTGAAATGATAATGAATAAATAGTAGTATATGTTTTTTTTTCTTATACTATGTTTCAATTACAAACTATCACAGGGTAAGTTGGTTGACAATTAAAAATATTTATATTAATATATAACTTTTATTTTGTTTATTTCTAAGTGAGAAAAACAGAAATTATTTTAAAGCTAAAATCACTTTAAGTAATTTGTGTTTTTCACTGATCTGGATATGAATGGTTATATTAATTAGGAGTAATTTTTATTTTATGAGAATAATAAATTATGGCTGTGGGGGTGTTGAAAAGGTAAGTGAGGAGTGAAGTGAACAGAGAAAGGGTTTGTTTGGTTAGCATTGAATTCATGAAGGAGTGATTGGGTTACTGTGGGGGTGTTACAGAAATCACAGAAAATCTCACTGAGCTTTTTACCTTTTTACAAACCTCCATCACTCATTAAGGAAACAGACAACAAAGGACGTCAATGCACAGTAACATCATTAATGCCACACAATCATACTAAAGTCACCACGACAAAATTATATATTTTTAAATTTTTTTATATTCAAGTAATATTATGTATTAATAAAAGGAAAATAATATTTTAAGAACCTAAATTTAGTAAATAATTCTCTTTTAATATTATAATAATAATTTTATTTTATTTTTATTAAATTATTTTATAAATTATTATATTAATAAAAATGAATTATTTAAAGAGTTATATGATTTTTAATTATCACATTATCATCCACTTAATCAAAATATTAAGCAATAGTATTCCTTGGCAACTTGAAACAGTGGTGCAGGAAAGTACAGGAACCCTCGTCAGTTTGTTACAGTTGCCCTAAACCCCCATTTCTCTCTCTGTCTCTCTCCACACTCTGCCAAGCAGAAAAGCCTGATTTGTGTACTTACAAAGACCACCACTTCCCACTCACTCCAACCCCAACCCATTCATACCATGAATGATATTAATTAATTAATCATGCTGTCACTCATCTCATCACTCACCAGTCTGTTACACCCAAATGCTCTCTTTGCAGACCTGGACTTCCAAATATACGTATTACTTCCTTCAATGCATCATTAATCTTTTATTTTATTTTAATCAAGTAAAGTATGGAAATTTCGAATCTTCACTTAAAAATCTTTTCACATTTATTGTCTAAATAAGATTCACTTTTATTCTTCTGTCAATTCTCGTTTATGCATTCGTCTGGTATTTTTTTAAGAGTTTAATCTTAGGAACACAAATACAAGTTGTTGTTGATGATGTAAGGGGTTAAGAACTGGGTGAGACTTACAATCTTTCCATGTTTTTTTTTTTTTTCCTTTTTTATGCATCTTTAGTATGGTACATATTTTTTTCTCTTTTATTTTATTCATTTCTTTACTTTTTTGACATATAGATCCGCCATATTTTGTGTTATGATTTAGAAAATTAAAAGTATTGTTAATTAACGAGACAAAGTTGCTTTTATCTTCATATTTTGTAGGCATGGCTTGTCAGTTGTTCTGCGTAATATATTGCTTTATATCCAAATAAAAAAGTCTTCTACAGTTTCAATCTTCATCTTTTAATTTCCTCAGTAATCAACAAATCCATATATTACTATCGAGGTGTATAACATTGTTCATCAATTTCACATGACTAGAAGTTTTTGTATGTAACACTGAAATTTAGTTAATTCTGCCATGGTGGCAAGAGCAATTTGGTTACTTTCAACTTAATATTTGAAGGCTATTCAAATCAAAGATTTCCCGTGGCGGTACCTTTTTTTTATAATACAGCTGGGGTTGCAGTAAATCAGGTACATCCAAATTGGTTGGTGAGCATAAAAAATCATGATTGTTCTATGTCTAAAGAGGTAGAAAATTGACAGATTACTGAAAAAGTGAAAGTATAGCAAGTTTATATTTGAATTTATTGTTGTTCAACAAATTGGAGAAAATTTACACCCATTTCTAACTACAGGAGTGACCCAAAATTATGGGATAGAGTTTGTAATCCACTAATAGAGTAAAATGCTTCATTCTGGGCAAATTATAGGATGCAAAGAACAAGTTCTTGTAAAATAACCTGTTCATAAGCATTACTAACCAGTTTATAGATTATATGAATCTGCTAAGTAATCTGATCAACTACAGAACACCAATATGCATTACTACTGCCACAGAAGTTGAAATTATTTGGAGAAATAAAATTCACAAACAAGGGTTTAGAGAGTATAATTAATCAGCTATCCTGGATAGGCACTAATGGCATTTGGCCTCCGTATATATCTGGGAGTTGACTCTCTTCTATCTCTTCTAGCAATGTTGGTTTCAGCTTTTTGTTCTCCACGAATACTATCTGCACAGAACTACAACATTCAAAATATGCTCCTACAACATCTCAAGCAAATACAACATGCATTATGAATTTGAAGTGTTACCTTTTTCTTGGTGTTGTCGTCAATGAAAGGGTAAATCATTTTCCAAATTTTCATAAACATATAAGGTGCGTGTACAATAAACAACTTTCCCAATCTTTCTGGGTAGCAATCCTGCAGTCAGAAAAAGGAACATAGTGAGGTCTGGATGTTTCAAGTTTCCAGTTAAAACACACAGAGAAAAGTTATGCACAAGATTTGTGCAGAGAAATGGTAAATGAATGGAGGGAAACCTAAACCTGCAAAATGGATAGAGAATTAAGGTATCCACGAAGATCACTGTTTGCATATCCCCATCCTTTAATATCTGCAATGCCAAGAAACTTTTCTTGCCCCGGTGGCATCCTGACATGTTAAATAAGCATATAAACAATCTTTACAATCTTCTAACAAAATTCATAATTCTACGCGTAAGTTATGTATTATATTTCAACTTTTGGACCAAAACATCAATTTCTAGTATATGGTCCAAAATGCAGCTGCTCATACATCTCAGACTCATCTGGGTGGAGGTTATTTATTTTTGGTTCAAATATAACTTTGGTTGCATGAACTTTTGGTATTTCGTTTAATCCTCTAAAGTTATAAAGTTAAAATGTTCACTTTGGTCTGTCTCTGTTAAATCAAATTAGTCTTTCTGTCAATTTACCACTAGTTGTGAAAGATGTCACACCAACCCAATTTAAAACCATCAGAGAATAAAAACAATTTTGTCTAACAGAAATACTTTAAGAAACTAACATAAAACTTAAACTTATGAGAGCAAATTTAGTTCTTAACTCAGTTAAGTTCACCCGAGGATTTAAGTAAATAGATCAAATTGAATTATAATCACCATAGTTAATAATTCATTTATTTTTCCGTAATGCCAATGAAATGACTAAAGTTGACCAGAAAGTGTTGGCAAATTTTGGGTCATGTATATATATGATACATATTTAAATGTGTTAGGGTCATTATTTATTAAGCCAAATAATAAAGTAATCTGACTAAATTAAAGTTTTGGTTAAAAGCATATGTCATGAAAATAAAATTGTGTAGAGACCATAGAGCAATTTCTAATTTGATGAGGGGCCAAATTGGAAATACTAAAACTTAAGTAATTAACCTAATTTTGGTTATCTAAAGGGTCATGGTCCCCTTCTGAGAGCACAAAGACAGAACGTAGTTACAGTCCCGTTCCTTTCTCTCTATCCCCATCAAGAGAGTAAATCAAGAGGGAAATACAGGTGCTCTTCAGGTGGAAGACCATAAGATCAATATAGTGCTTTACAAAGACATCATCGTTATGGCTAATTCAGGTACGTTTTCGCATTCAGTTTACAACATGTTTATCAGGTATGGGATTATGTTTATGTTTGATTGTTAGAATCAAAATCGGGATTATTATTATTATTATTATTATTAATTTTCCAACAATTGGTATCGTAGCCGCCCATATTTGATTCATGTCTCGTTTAGTTTATAGAACCCTAATTATAAAAATTAGGATTAATTTTGTTTTAAACAATTCAAATTACCCAATTTTATGAACCCTAAGTGGAGAATAATCTCTAATTTTCGTGAACCCTAAAATTTAAATTTGGGGGTAACATCCTCAATCTGATTTTGCTTGTTGATGGAACCCTGGAGGAAGCTATGGATTCTTATTCTTCTTCATTTTTCCCTTTTGTTTCAGTTTAAGTTTCAAGTTTTACTGAGAAAGAAATAGTGTTTCAAATTTCAATCTTTCTTGTATTGGGTTCTCTGTTCTCTTTTAATCTTTTGTTTTTATTTAATTTTATGGGTTTGGAATTGGGGGTGGTGTTTGTGGAGTTCCCAACACGGAGAATATTAGGTAAATGGTGAATGTTTCCACATGTGTGGTCGTTATTATTTTATTGCCTCTATCCCCTAGGAATTTAAGGAAAATTTGATGTTAAATTAGGGTCCGAGTGATTACTCGTTTAATTCTCTTTTAGGGTTTAGAGCAAGATGCTAAAGAGACTCGGAACTATCTCTCGTTTCATCCCTAGTGTGATTTTAGGGAGATGTTCATCCTTTATGTATTGGTGGAAAATGAGGCCTTTTTTTCATCCTTTGATTTGTTCGGATGAGGTGTTCATCCCTAATGAGATTCTAGGGAGGTGTTCATCCTTAGTAGAATTATAATGAGGTGATTCTCTTTTGAATTAGTTTGCAAATATTAAATATTTGGTTTTGTTATATAAATAAAATATTCAATTTTTGGTAGTTTAATATTTTTTGTGAGCAAATTGAGTCAAGAAGTCACCAAAGTAACTTCTCTTGAATTGGGCAGCTTCATGAAAAATATTGAATGTTAGTGTTTGTGTATATTCATGCGAGTATTAGTCGACCCAAAGGAAGATTAATATTTGGCCGAATTGCATACACACTTGTAATGATAAACATGTGATAATTATAAGGATTTGCTTTGTCGATGATAAATCAATCCAAAGACTGGTTTGTTGTTGGACGTGCTTTATTGTCAATGTTTGATTATTACAACAAGATACCTCTAGCAGCTTAATATTACTCGTCCAAAGACTTGATATTGATGGTGCATTGGGTGTCTTGAGATGAGTTAAACCATTATTTGAATATATATTTTATTTATAATTTTTTTTATATAATGTGAGCATAATTAGTTTATTTCTTTTGTTCTAATCCAGCTACAATTGCTTTCAGTATCCGCCAATTTAAATTATGTTCCGATCCTCAAAAGTATGTTTCCTACTTTGGTCCGTTCGAAGTCAATTTAGCGTCAGTACCTAGTAACACTTGGTGGTTAGACTCAGGTGCAACTACTAACATCAGTGTTTCTATAAAGGGTTGCCTAAGCTACCGGAAGCCAATTGATTCTGAAAGATGAATTTATGTTGGAGATGACAAATCGGTAGAGGTGGAAGCTATAAGTCATTTTAAATTATTATTAAGTACTGATTTTTTATTTGGATTTGAAAGACACTTTTGTTATGCCGTCATTTAGACGGAATTTGGTTTCAGTTTCTTATTTGGACAAATTAGGTTATTTATGTTCATTTGGAAACAATAAGTTCAGTTTGTCTTTTAATTCAGATATTGTTGGAACTGGTTCACTTTTAATTTATGATAATCAATATTTACTTGATATTGTGGCCACCTATAATGAAACCCTTAATACGTAATCATGTGGTACTAAACGTAAAATTGAAAATACTCACTCAAGTGCATTATGGCACAAGTGCTCGAGTAACATCAAATTGTAACGTTTGGGCTTGTGTTACACTCTTAAAGATATGGTAGAGAGTATGATTTGTCATTCCACCTTACTCGGAATCACTTTGGGGAGAGACACTAAATATGACAACTTATATTCTAAACAGAGTACCAACTAAAGCAGACTACCAAAACATCTTATGAGCTTTGGATCAGGCGACGACCTAGTCTCGAAGCATTTCCATGTGTGGGGTTGTCCAATTGAGGCAAGGCCTTATAAGCCAAATGAAAAGAAATTGGACTCCGAACAGTAAGTAGTTATTTTATTGGTTATGCTTGAAAGATCCAAGGGATATAAATTTTATGATCCCACATTAAAGACAATTTTTGAGACTGGAACTGCTACGTTTTTTGAGGATATTGAGTTTGGGGGAAGAATAAAATCGGGAACTTTGTCTTAGAGGAAGAATCCAGTAACAATTCCGGAACCGATTCAAACAGTTACTTTTGATAAAGTAAGTTCGGAACCTCCACAAGGCATTGTTGATGAACCCCTTACTCAAGATGATTTGGTTGTTCATGAAGAACAAACTCAAGATCCTCAAGAACCTCGTGTATCATGAGCTAATAACTTTGCGGAGATCCACTAGAGAAAGAAGAAGTGCTATTTCGGATGATTACATGGTATTTCTTCGAGAACATGAGGAAAATAATGATATAATGGAAGATGACCCAGCTTAACTTCCGTCAAGCTATATAAGGTTCTAAATCTCAAAAGTGGATTGAAACAATAGGATAAGTATAAGTCCATGCAAGACAATAAGGTTATTGGGAACTTGTCCCATTACCGGAAGGTATGAAACTCATTTGGCTTCAAGATGAATATTGTTGATGATTGTATGTATCACAAGTTTAAAGGGAGACAAGTTTAGTCTCAATCAAGTGCCCAAAGGGAATTTGAAAATTGAGGAAATGCAAAAGATTCCCTATGCATCACTTGTAGGGAGTTTGATCTATGCCCAAGTATGTACGCATCCGGACATAGCATATATAGTTGGGGTTCTAGGAAGATATTTAAGCAATCCAGGAATAGACCATTGAAAAGCGAGCAAAAGGGTCATAAGATATTTAAAGAGAACAAAAGATTATATGCTCACATATAGGAGGTCGGACCAGTTGGAGATCATCGGGTTTTCCGACTCGCATTTTGTAGGATGTCAAGAATTTGTAACTTGCTATGAGGCATCAAATCATGGAATATGGCCGATAAATTTTGTCATAGGGTCGCAAATTGTGAAAGGCATTGAAAGACCACTTAAGTTATATTGTGACAATAAATCAACTGTATTGTTAAGGAAAGAGTACAAAGTGGACAGATTTTCATAGAACACTTAAGGACAAACTCCATGATACCAGATCCTCCGACTAAAGGACTTCCGCCCAAGGTCTTTCATGAGCATTTTGCTCACATGGGTGTTTTACGGTTTGAGGAATTTGTGGTTTAGTGGGAGTTAGTCATTTTCATATATTTTATGTTCTATGTTTAATTTTATATATGTATACATTGTTTTTTGGACATATTTGGTTATCTATAGATATGCGGTTTTCTTGTTCATTCATTACACTTTGTACATTAAGGTTATTGTATCGATCTCGATAAGTTAAAGTTTGGACCAGTTGAAAATAGACGTGTACAGATCACCTTCACGTAATTTTTCATGCTACACATTTCATGATGAATCCATGTCATTTGGTTATGTCAGGATGAGTAATCTTGTTGGTTTTAGTTGCGATGATGCAATGAAAAGCTGGTTTGGTTTTATATCCTGATATGATTAATGGACAGGACTTTTGGAATATGCTAAAGGAATATAATGACAATTTTGAGCTCATAAAGTCTAACACATTTGTAAGGTTGTAAAGACATATATATTTGTGACCAGTGGGAGATTGTTGGCAAATTTTGGGTCATGTATATATATGATACATATTTAAATGTGTTAGGGTCATTATTTATTAAGCCAAATAATAAAGTGATCTGACTAAATTAAAGTTTTGGTTAAAAGCATATGTCATGAAAATAAATTGTGTAGAGACCATAGAGCAATTTCTAATTTGATGAGGGGCCAAATTGGAAATACTAAAACTTAAGTAATTAACCTAATTCTGGTTATCTAAAGGGTCATGGTCCCCTTCTGAGAGCACAAAGACAGAACGTAGTTACAGTCCCGTTCCTTTCTCTCTATCCCCATCAAGAGAGTAAATCAAGAGGGAAATACAGGTGCTCTTCAGGTGGAAGACCATAAGATCAATATAGTGCTCTACAAAGACATCATCGTTATGGCTAATTCAGGTACGCTTTCGCATTCAGTTTACAGCATGTTTATCAGTATGGGATTATGTTTATGTTTGATTGTTAGAATCAAAATCAGGATTATTATTATTATTAATTTTCCAACAGAAAGATCAATTGCATCGACTAAAGTCGTATTGATATCAGCATTTTAGTAAGAACATGAGGGTATGAAATAACACAGGAAAAGGGATGCACCTTGAACACAGCTTCTCCAGAGCAAAGGCTACATACCCTGCATACAGAAAAAAGTACTTGTCATTAAGTAAGAGGACTTGAAATGAAATTTGGTGCGGGATCTGAAGTGAGAAACATACGTTTGAATCCATCGGCACCATTTTTGCTTTGAAAATGTTTTGCAGCAAAGGCAACAATTATAGGTCGACCCTTCTTGTCGACTCCTTGCACAAACAGCTTCTCCTGTGCAATATCTTCAGCAATCTCTGATGGTGATATATAACCATTTGGAATAATTGAACGTTTCCATTTCAAGTACTTCAGAAACATCGCCGAAGCCTTCTCCACATCTAAACTACGAGCCCGCAAGAATCTTCTAATCATCAAATCATCCACTTCCTGCCCACTCATCAAAGCTCAACCAAATTAAATTTCAAACTATTCGGCGAATTGGTAGGAAAACAAAACCACTTGGGCATCATCAAATTTACATTTTATTAAATACAACAACTCTAGTCCCAGATAAAATTCAATTTTCATTATTGGGTATTCCATTGTGATTAGAAATATCAGGGTCACAAATAGTTCTATCCATATATATACCAACATGATTGTTAATCTAACTGCAACCCAGTTCGAATCTCTTAAATAAAGTTTTGACTTCTAACATTATGATCGAAAAATTGAATGTCAGATTCTTCAACAGAGATTAATTATGCAAACAATATGGTAAAGAAAAAAGATAGTTTTATCCATATGATTCACAAGAACATGGTAAAGAAAATGCAGCACTACTTTCATAAAGAGAGAAAGGGCACAGAGCATGGCAGTTAATTTAGTTGCAACAAAAGATGGCAACTTGAGCTGTTTTGAGTGGTTTCGTGCAGGTGGGGTACCTTGGAAGAGGGATCTTGGGCTTCAACAAAGGCTCTCATGAGACGAATTTTGGTGAGTTCTGCATCAGTGCTGTCCTTGAGTTCATCATTGGTTGTGTCGTGCTTGGAACTGGAATCCAACGGTGAGCTCTGAGGTGGTTCAGGGCTCACAACACCCTCCATTCTCTTGAATCTCTGCCTCAACACTTTTTTTTTCCTCAACCACACGAATTTGTGTCCGGTGTTCTGACTAACCAGAACACGGATCGAGGAAAAGAAGATTTTTTTTTTTTTCCTTATTAAATGCGATACTCTTTCTGGTGACTTCCGTGGTTAGCATTGACGCCAGTTTTTGAACGCTCAACTACCCCATTCGGTTTTCAGATGCCCTTTATTAGTTTATTTTCGAATTTAGTTACAATGTAAACTTGAATTTATACCCTGTTTTTAGTAGAATATTAAATATTGGCAATTAATAACACAAAAATGTATTCACATTAATTAAGCTTTTAGTTTTAAGACATGCATGAATAAAAATTGAATAGAGTTGGGCAAAACACCTCTGAAAAAAGTAGGTCAACGTTGGACTTTTTGGGCAAGGAACGTGGATGGCAGCTACAAATTTCTGGTTGTGGGAATAATCACATTGACTTTACATTTGTTGAGTTTACAGTTAATTATATTTATATTATATTGGATAAATAATCAATTTAGTTTTTAGAAAATGGGAAGACCCGTTAATTTAGTTCCTCACAAAATGAAATATGTATTAATCCTACAACTATTTCTTGCTATTAAATTTTGAGTTCATTTTGTCATTAAAATATATTTTTAAGGACAAATTTAATTATAAATTAGAGACTACTTTATTATTAAATTATAGTATTGAACAATTTATTTTAATGACCAATTTTAATAATAAATTAGATATTACTTTATATTAAATTATAATATTATCAAATTGGTCATTTTCATAGTTATACTAAAATTTTGTGCCTTCTGGATAATGATCCTTCTGTGACTTAATATGTATATTATTTGAAATAAAATTAAATATGTACATAATACATTTTAAAATAAGCATTAAATATGAGAATCAGAAATAAAATTAAATATGTATATGATATATTTTAAAATAAGCATTAAATATGAGAATCATCATATTGCCAGAGTTATTTTAATTTAAATAGTAATTTCAAGTTTAAGATAATTGGAGGTGCTATTTTGAAAATTGCACCGAATCTCGCGCTTCAATCGGTTAAAGTGGGAATTGAACTAATTATTTTTAAATAATCATATTTTAATTAAATTGAGATAAAATCAGTAAAATTAAAAATAATAAGTAAGATTTTTAGGTTGAATCAGTTTAAAAAAAATTAAGATTAAAATTTTGTTAATATAATTTTCTCATTTATAATTTTTATTATAACATGATAATAATTTTTATTATTTTTATTTTTATTTTTTAAATTAGTACTAATAAATTTATTATATATTTATTATATTATAAAAATATTATTTTATTAACTCGATTGAAATTTTAAATTTTGAATTTATGTTTTCATTAATTTAGTGATTGGTCTGGTTTTAAAAATATTGGTTAAAGTTATATAGGATACAATGAATTAAGTGTGTAACTAATGTTGTAGAGACGTCAAAAATAAAAAAAGTGAAAAGGAAAAGAAAATAAGAAAAATTAGTATAAATAGAATTTGTTTGGTTCGAAAGAAATATATGATAAAGAAAATGAAATTTTTTTATTAAAAATATAAAATAAAAGTAAGTATAACGTGTCTTTATTTTCAAATACAATGTCTATATTTTATAACATAATCAATAATTTAAAATTTTATTGATTAAATTAAAAAAATTATAAATAAAAAATTTAATCATTTAAACTTTATTATAAAAATTTATTGGCAATTTTTTTTTAGATTCAAACACCTCTTAGTGTTCTTAGAGTAGAGAAAATTATTTCTACCCTTTCAAAAATTTAGATAAAATATGCTTTTTCTTACCCAATTCTAGAATATTTTTGTGAGATAGGGTTGTATGTGGAAGTAGGTTATGCTAGGCAAAGATGAATCTTGAATAGTTTAGAGCATTGTTGTAAACTTAATTTATTAATTATGACCGTTTGTGATAAAGATCTGACTTCCTGATAATTTAAAAGTTTTGGAGATTTTTTAGCTTGGAAACATATGATTGAAGTAATGAAAATTGGTTATTCTTTAATTTTCATAGTATTATATGCTAGAAGATCTTAATTGTAGATGTGACTTAGTCACATTACTTGAATTGTTGCAGGAAATCAGTTTGTGTGATTGTATATGTGTATTGTGTGTTGATTATTTGAATTTGAAAGCGAGTTAATAATTAGCTTAGATGATATTAAAAATGATAGTGTTTACATTGCTGTAATATACTTAGGTTTAATTTAGTGAATTGGTTTTCAATTAATAAATAGTATTTGAATTCAATTTCATTTGAAGGTTTGAAAATGGGGTACGTGACAAATTATACAATTTGGTATTGTCATGAATATATCCAACATATTTAATTTCACTCAATGGATATAAGCTAGTGTTGAAAACTCTTACATTTTGCTTAACACTTTTAAATTCACTTAATGGTTTTTGAACGTAGGTTCAATTATGTGAAAAAATCACTATTTCGTTAGTGAAAATTTGATAAAAATGAATACTAGAAGTGTTAGTATAATTTGCTCAACCATCTAAATTTTACTCAACAATTTGAAATTCACTCCACACTTCTAATTTTCACTCAACTATTTTAATATATATATATATATATATATATATATATATATATATATATATATTCTTGTTTGGAATATTAAGTTAAATACTAATACGATATTTTTTTAATCATATAATGAATTATGTTGGAACTAGATGTATGTGTGTCTAATTAATGTAGTTATGATGATGTATTGTAAGGTGAGAAATACCAAGGGGTTTTATCTCAAGTTTATCATATCAAATTTTTTTAAATATAATGTATTAAATTATAATATTTTTAGGTAATTTAAATATTTTATAATAAAAGACTCATTTATTTTAAAAATATTATTATTGTTAAATTATTAGTAAAATAAATAAATATTTAAACCAAGATAAGGGGTTTATCTCTTCATAGGAAAAAATATTGGACTTATTTTTTTAAGAAGAAATAAACATAACATTTAATGTAGAGATTAAAAAAAAAATGAAAAGTAAGCCAATTTGCAAGTATAAAAAGAGTCAAGGGGTGATGAAAAAAATGAGGAAGGAAAAGAGAGAAAGGGAAAAGGAAAGTAAAGAAGAGAAAACTATATAAATACTTTTGGTCATTCTCTCTGTTTGTTAAGGTAATGGAAGAAGACATCTATCTTTATATTTATTTAATTTATAATTATGATTATTTAGTGGGTGTTTCTAATATCATTAATTTATTTCTTTATATTTAATTTATCTATAATTATATGTTGATCTTTTTTAATTTATTTGTTTAATTTATACATTGATGTTCTTTTATATTTATTTATTTTCGGTTATGCACTTGATCCTCTTTTATAATTATATTTTTTAACTTATCTCCATTTATGCACTTTAGTAATTTATATTTATGTTATTTAATTGTTTCTATTTTTTTTCTTAAAGAATAACATTTTTATGAAAGATTTGCTAATATTACTGGTTGAAGGTTGAACCTTGAGGATTTAAAGGAGTAAATATCTCTAAAGAGTTATTGATTTTCGGTTCATTTATGTTTACTAATCACTACAAAATTAATTCAAATCTTCATAATCTAAAATAAATTAGAATATATTAGTAAAACGATTATATTTATACACACACACACACACACACACATATATATATATATATATATATATATATATATATATATATATATATATATATATATATATATATATATATATATATATATATATTATTCTCACTTTCTTACTTTTTTTTCTTGTGTATTAATGTTAACTTAAATAGATGGAGATATCAAATCTTCCAAAGCCCTTCTCTATGACCATCACGACTCTTTTTCTAGGGACTATTTAAAATACAAACACTATTATCAATTCAGTCACTTTTAAGGGGACAAGTTTATCAATATTGACATTTACTTCTAATTTGAAAACTCCAACCAAGACAAACTGGTTATAGTAAGACCTACTTAAACACGTATGGATTCAGGAAAAGGATTTCCCGAATATTGGGTAGATGTTGTTAAATCTGGGAAATATGAATATAATAATAATAATGTAATAATGTATATTACACTTCTCTCTCTCTCTCTCTCTCTCTCTCTCTCTATATATATATATATATATATATATATATATATATATATATATATATGCCTTTAACTCACATTATTTTTACCAAAATTTAGTAGAAATGTTGCATTAGTTATATACATATATATTAATATAAAGATGTCAAAAATTAATGGTATTAGAATAACATTTCATGTGAGACCTATGAAATAAGTTCATCACGAGATTTTATAAACACTAACTTGCATAATTCCAACTAGTGAATAATAGGAGAAACAATAAGTTGACAGAAACAATACAAGTGATCAGAGACATGGTTATTACATTATTAAGAAATCAAAGGTTTGAAAGAACCAATGAATCACAACATTTAATTGAATTTAGGAGAAACAAACCTATACAATTCTTTGAAGGTTATATAGAAAAATCTAAATTGTGGATTAAGGAAATGGGGAAAATATTTTTAGTTATGAATTGTTCTTACAACTAAAAGGTAAATTATGTTGTGTTTATGTTGATAGGATAGACTAAATATTGATGAGATAGTACCAGGAGATTATTATAAGGAGGAAGAATAATCATTACTTGCGAAGTGTTTAAAACAAAATTTTTAGAATATTTTTCTAATGATATGAGGAGAGTGAAAGAAATAAAATTTTTGCAACTGAAGCAATAAAGTATGACGGTAGGAGAATATACCTCTAAGTTTGAAGAGTTAGGAAAATAATCTACTTTCGTTTATCACCCATATGAAATAATGAAGTATATAAAATTTGATAATGAACTTAGACCTGAATTAAGAAACATAGTGAGAATATTAGAAATTTTTTACTTTCCTACACTTATTCACAAGTGTAAATTTCTAGAGGATTTTGAAAATAGTTAA